GAAAGGCCTCTTTCTCCTGACCTTTTTTTTGACCCAGAAAAGGAATACAGACTTTGCCGTGCCAAGCAGTCCTTCGACAGGAAGAAGCCTGTCTCGCTGATTCAGCTCATCTGGGATTACCAGTGGTCATCCACCCCCCTTTTTATTTATGACTGCGAGCTCTTTTTTCCACAGATAAAAAGGACACTCTACCACTGGGAACGCTTGTTGTTCTTACAAGAGATGTGTGATAATTAAGTGGCCTTGTTGATTGTAAATCAGGGTTAAGATATCCTGAATGTGTTTACATCCTCTTTTAGTCTGACAGGTCCACCCTCCAGAGAAGAACTCTTTGGGAACTCACATTTGCCATGCTGTCATCTTTTGTTTAAAGAAGTGATTTATGAGCAGTGAGCAGAATGTAGAGCCCTGACATTCAATACTGATAGCAGAAACGGCTCCTGGCAGTGATATAGATTTAGTTCTAATTTAAATACTATTGAAAAATTTCCATCTCGCTCCTAATTAACAGATTGCCTATTCAGCATGATGAACTCTCATGGTGGAACATAATCAAAATAATACGATGATTGTTGAATTAAGAGACGGATGAAGCGTCTCTTGCAGAGGAAGACGAGGACAAGGTCCTACATTTGACCTCAGATTTCTCACATGTTAAAGTAATTATTACTTACCCATTAGGCCTGCAACAGCTGTCACATATAAACATGGAGCACATTTATGTTTTTATTAATTATGTAATTTTTCTTAAGATGAGATACCTTTAGGTAGACAAAGACAGTTACATTTTTCTAGGACCTACTCAAACAAAAGCTAATGATATTGAGCATGTATGTATAGTTGCTGTCTAATCTACTAAATAAAATAATAAAAGCTTCTTAACCACATAATACATGTCATTTGCCATGGACAAAGGAAATTGAAGGAGCACATTTCAGATCCTCTGGCAGGCAGTTCCAGCTCATGGGAGCGTAAAAACAAAAAGCTGCTTCTCCAGTTTTGGCATTGACTCTTGATATTTTTGAAAGGCCAGCACCAGATGACCCACCTGATCTGGAAAGTCATAACTCATCACTATGTCAGAAATACATTGAATTTTTCCTGAATATTCTGAGCTTTGTCTATGAGAAGGACTTTATATTTAATTCTAAATTTCACTGGAAACTAGTGATGTAGTTTAGAAACAGGAGTTGTTGCAGCCGAGATGTTGTCTCTATTGATATGCCTTTTAAAAAAAGAAAGCTAACAAAAATTACAATTCATATTTTCAGGTGTAATGAAAACATAACAATGAATGATTCACATTCACATTAAAGGAGACCTGTTATCTCCATAGTCAATAGAATTCTTTATTTACTTGCACATTATCATCCAATTTTAAAGCGCACTGAAGCATTTATTACTGTCTGAGACTACATGGCTACTGTTCCATTTTACATATATTTATATTTACATGTCTGTGCTGATGATACATTGCTTTCTTTTCCTTTAAAACCTGGGCATACATCCAACCCCCACCCTGACTTCCTCTTACATTCCTTTTCGGTGGCATTGCATTGTTGTTTATCATCCGCAAAAAAATAAAGCATGAATACTAGACTGCAACTTTAGTTTGCCTTATTTAATAGGTTCTCTATGATATTTTGAATCCTTTTTAAGTTGAATTTCTGATAAATACAACAGCATTATATTTTAGATATGTGAGCCGCAGTGCAGACAGAGACTACTGCTACTACCTGGTCCCTGCCTTATAGTCTAGTATTGTATTATATTTTAGTTCACTTCTTAAAAATCATATTTCAGTGGAAGACCTTTTTAGGATTTTACCAGGTCCCTTTTAACTTGGTATATTTTAATTTTGCTATACATTTGTACTTTGTTTATGTTGTTATTATTGTTATGTTCTGTTTTTCTAATCTTTTTTCTTCTCATCTCAAACTTGTGTGTAAATGTCAACAAATATGTAATTTACGTAAATGTTTGCTCTTCAGTTAGTTCTTTTACTATTACATATTTGTTACTAACATATACTGCAAACAGTCCATCTAAAAAACAAACCCACCTCTATTGGTACATCAGTCAGACTTTCCTTACTCTCATTCTCAATCTGCAATCTGAATTTTTAAACACTGTATATGTAAACAGTAAAAGTGTGTCACGTAGAATAATTGACATGCAAACAATTGCTAGCTTGTGTTTTTCTAGTCAAGAGAAATAATTTTTAGTTAGATGTCCACACATACTAAATTATTTTTAGAACTGTACAACGTGCAGCCATGATATTGCCATTAACAACATTATATAATATGAACACAGGTCATTGCTTGAAATGTGTTCTGACATTATCATCGTCCCCCATGATGAAAAATGGATGGTGGGGGGGCAGAACCTTTCTTCATCTCAGTGTTTTTGTAGATGTGCTCACAGCCCTAAAGAGACTCCAATAATGTTTATACAAAGCATTGCATGAGCTCACCTAAACCTCCTGTGCCTCACAGGATATTCTTTCAATATTGTTTATGTAGCTATGAGGAAGAGACGATGGATTGTCTGGATGGTCTTTCTATCATGTACAAGATCTTGGCCCCCATGGACTGGATTTTACAGAAAATAACTTGGGCACTAATGCACATTTTTGCTCTGATCTAGCATTTTCAAAAACTATATTGATGAACTCATTGAGCTTTTCTTACCATTTATAGTTGCATGTGTATAATTTTTCAAGAAATACTGTCTACTTGTTCCCTTCTGGACTGTTCTGGCTGATTCACATGGGCACAACAACATGTATTTGACTTTTATATACGTTAACATGTAAGTTCAGAATACTTTACTTTTTACACAGTTTGCGTATAACTTCACTTCTTCTACTATAGCATGTACAGTTCTTAATGTATCTGTGTATATATAAGTCCCCAGTAGAAGCTGTAATAAAGCAGACCATACTTAAACTGTTTAAGTTTAAGTTATGTTCGAGGACAGCCTCATATCAAATATCCTGTGTATACACATAATAACTTATATGGATTGGTATTAAGTCCGGTCCAAATATGGACTGTTTAAACAAGTCCCAAGAGCACTTAGCAAATGTGTTTCTCCCCCTCAAGTTTATTTACATAGTTAGTCTATTGAGAAACTACATGAAACTGTCTTGATGATAGTAATGCATTGTTGGTTTGGAGGATTTCTTTGGGGGATACCTTGACAGCATTTGACCACATTTAGTAGTTATTTGTGCTGTGAGTGAAAAAAACGTTAACTTAACCAGGCAGTTTATTACCAACCAGCAATAGAATTATAAAAATCCTTTAAACCTGAACTATGAACATGTAAGCTGAAATTCAGTTTCACTGTTACAGAACTGTAGACCGACTTGACTGATACAATGCATATACCTTAAAATAAACACAGGACCGGACTTATTCACATTCCCCTCTTCTCCACCTTCATTGCTGTAATACACTGTTCGAGGATTCTTTGGCAGCAGAGCATGTCGCCTGCAATGGAAACATTTACACTACACCCATAACAACTACTTTGGTTTTTTTAATATCTTTCAATCAGTCTTCTCACATCACTTTCGAGCCTGACTTGTATTATCTTGAGAGAATCAAAGCCTCCATTTTACATCCACATTGTCGTTACTAACTGACAGCTTAAAAACTGTTCAGAAACCACCTAGCACAGTTCACAGCATGGTTTGTGTTATGCCATAAATTTGTTTGAAACATGCACTCAAAACAAGGGGTGCCAGGACTTCTGTTTGGACTTCAGGAGGAACTCAGTGATGTCTGTTTTGCGTCTGGTAGCTTGCCTCTCCAGTCGGCCTCTGGGAAGTCATGTGGTATTATGGATTGTGTTCCCAGTTGCCACCCAGAGGCAATGCACAATAGATCACTGAGTTTACTTTTCAGACATTATAAATAATTGCTTACAAGTAAATGATTAGATGTGATCGAATGACAATACTGGAAACCTCCACTACAAATCCAACTCTCTGGTTTTAGCTTTGAATGACATCCCTCTGGAAAGTTAGTATTTCTAGTGGGTAATATTTGGGTTTGTGGATTGACTCCAGACTGACTGTACGTTTAAACAACACATTGAGCACGTTAAAAAAGAAATGTGGTTGGTGTTCTATATTGTTTCATATTGCTTCACATTTAATATCAGAAAGACTTGCTTCACAACTTATTTTCCAGAATAATGCTCACATTGTTTATCAAATGCTTCTTAAACCAACCGTCAAAGCAATTAAAGCAATTCTTTGTCTAAAATGCTCTAATCAGCACTACATGTTTATGACATTGGCCTCCCATTAATTTAGATCAGATGTGGATATGCTATAAGATCAGACAAACTAGAACACACTGTCCTACTTTGTGTTACAGTCTTACCGAAATGCAACATATCTGTTGCCTGCAGTACCAGGTGCTACCAAAATGCATTACTTCAGAAATGGACTGAAATTACATGCACCAAATTCTTCACCCCAAATAATCATCAGTTTCGGGGAGAGTGATAGTGATTTTTGGTGATTTTCTTTTCTCCTCTGGCTTAAACACTTCTGTCCTTGATTGTGTTTCTCAATGCTTACAGGAATCCTCATTTAACAGTGGACAGCTTGTGAATGTTTCTCATTATTATTCACTCTCGCTCTTGCAGGTGGTGAAGATGATGATCATCGTAGTGGTGACCTTTGCCCTCTGCTGGCTGCCCTATCATGTCTACTTCATTGTGAC